CAGACAATAAGACGCACACTGCGTAATGAAGGCCTCCGTGCCAGAACTCCCAGGCGTACCCCCTTGCTGTCTCCAAAGAATAAGAAGAGTCGACTGCAGTATGCCAAAAGCCATGTGGACAAACCACAAAAGTTGTGGGATAGTGTTCTGTGGACTGATGAAACAAAATTAGAACTGTTTGGGCCCATGGATCAACGCTATGTTTGGAGGAGGAAGAACAAGGCCTATGATGAAAAGAACACCTTGCCTACTGTGAAGCATGGTGGAGGGTCAATCATGCTTTGGGGCTGTTTTGCTTCTGCAGGTACAGGGAAGCTTCAGCGTGTGCAAGGTACCATGAATTCTCTTCAGTACCAGGAGATATTGGATGGAAACGTGATGCAGTCCGTCACACACCTGAGGCTTGGGAGACGTTGGACCTTTCAACAGGACAATGATCCCAAGCATACCTCCAAGTCCACTAGAGCATGGTTGCAGAGGAAAGGCTGGAACATTTTGGAGTGGCCATCGCAGTCACCAGACTTAAATCGATTGAGAACCTCTGGTGGGACTTAAAGAAAGCAGTTGCAGTGCGCAAGCCTAAGAATGTGACTGAACTGGAGGCCTTTGCCCATGAAGAATGGGCGCGAAGATACCCGTAGATCGCTGCAAGACACTTGTGTCAAGCTATGCTTCACGTTTAAAAGCTGTTATAACTGTAAAAGGATGCTGTACTAAGTACTAAGATTGAATGTCACTTGGGGGTTGAATAAAACTGATAATGCTGTGAGCACAGAAAAGACATTTGTGGTTATTTCATTATAATGTTATGTTTGAGGGAAGAGAGAAGAGAGAGGTAGTGGAGAGAAAAATGAGAAAGAGGAAGGAGGAGAGAAGGGGGAAGAAGGTGAGAGAGGAGAGAGAAGAAGGGGAGGGGGAGAGGGGGGGGGAAGAGAGAGGGGGGGGGGGAGGGGGTCGGGAGAGAGAGGGGGAGTAGGGAGGGTGGGGGGGAAGGGGAGAGTGGGAAGAGGAGAGAAGGAAGGAGGGGGGGAGGAGGGGGAGGAGGGGGGGGGGGGGGGGGAGGTGGGGGAATTGGGGGGGGGGAGAGAGGGAGGGGAAGATGAAAGGGGGGGAGGAAAGAGAAGAGAGAGAGGGAGAGAGAGGGGGAAATGGAGAGAGAGGAAAGGGAAAGGAGAGAGGAGGAAGAACAGGGGGGGAAGAGAGAGGGGGGGGACAAAGAGGGGGACAAAGAGAGAGAGGGTGGGAAGATAGTGAGGGGGGAAGGAGAGAGAAGAGGAATGGGGGGGGGAGAAAAGAAAGAGAGAGAGGAAAGAGAGAGAGAAAGCCAGGGAGGAGGGGATAGAGAGGGAAGGGAGAGGGAGAGGGGGGAAGAGAAGGGAAGAAAAAAGGGGAAGAAGAGGGGGAAGAGAGAAGAGAGAGTGGAGGAGAAGGAGAGAGAGAGGAGAGGAGAGAGCGAGAGAATAAGGGGAGGTGGGAGTAAGGGGGGAGAGTGGAGGGGGGAGGGAATCATAAGAGAGAGAGAGTGGGGATAAAGAGAGAGGAGGGGGAAAGAGAGGGGAGGAGAAGAGAGTGGGGGGAGAGGAGAGAAGAGGGGGGAAGATGAGAAGAGAGAGAGAGGGGTGATGAGAGAGGGGGAGAGAGAGGGAAAAGAGAGAGAGTGGGGGGGAGATAGAGGAGATTGAAAGGGGGGAGGAGGGAAGAGATAGGGGGGAGTGAGAGGGGGAAGGGAAGAGAGAAATAACGGAAGAGAGAGGGGGGGAGAAGAAAAGAGGATGAGAGAGAGAGAGGGGAGGAGAGGGGGGGGCTGGGGGAAGATGAGAGGGGGAGGATAAGAGAGAGAAAGGGAAAGAGAGAGGGAAAGGCAGAGAGAGAGAGAGGGAGAAAGAGAGAGGGGGAATAGACGAGAGAGGGGGAAGAGAGTACAAGTAGGGGGGATAAGAGAGAGGGGGGAAGATGAGAGAGGGGGAAAGAGAGAGAGAAGGAAGAGAGGGGGGGAGTTGAGAGGAGAGAGAGAGAGAAGAAGAAGAGAAAGAAAGGGAGAGAGAATCATATATACATACACACACTTATTTGAACTCTCTCGCTCTCTCGTGGGGGGGGGCGCACATTTTTTGTGTTGCCTAGGACAAAATTAAATACTCCACTGTCCTGTGTCACCCTTTAAAAGCATTCTTCAGATCAGCCGAAACATGTAACCTGTGCCGCGCCGGGGCCCATTTAAGGAACAGAATACGTGCACTAAAAACTATTTTTTATTCGCATTTTGTGATGCTTCTCTGATGAAGCCCCCCCTCGTTATCTGCTTTTATCCATCCACAGTAAATATAGTTATCAACCTTTAACATCAAACGTAAACTTTGACGTCACGTCTTGTATCGCTCATCTCACGCGAGTGCATGCGCACCGCTGTAAAAGTGAAAAAATAAAAAGTGATGGCGTTTTATTCACACGGCTGGATGAGTACATGATAATAGAAGAGGTATAATGCATGGGCAACGCTGTAACCCCATCCCCATTCGCTTCACTCTATAACCCTCACTAGTAAACAATGATAACCCCTTAACCCTATCCTCGTATATGGCTGAGCAACCTCAAATCCTGTCCAAACCCCTTAACTCGGACATATTCACCCCGAATTTCCGGTCTTACATTCATGCCCAGATAAAGTTTTATCGGACACCTCTAACCATTACCCTTCGCATGCAAACCGGATAACACTGAATTATAATACCTCATCATCTTATACCTCCATATCTGTAACCCATTACCTCGTGAAATCCTACCTCCTACCCTAAACCGGACTCCTCCACCGATCCCCATATACCGTCCAATACCGCACCAGAACTTCACGGTCCACCCTCCCACAGTATACCGGCTAACTCGCAACATTCCCCAGTATCCGGCTCCGCCATCGCCCCAGAACCGGCTCTCCCGCACCTGAACCACTTTTCACCTCCACCCATTCCCCTGTAACCGGCTTCCGACAGAACCTTCTAACTGCCATCCACTGACACAGATACTGAACAACGCCATACTGCCCGGATATCACTTATCCGCCACCGCCCCTATTCTCGGGCTTCTAACCCTAGGCCGCAAACCAAGTGTTTCCTTGGCACCTCGAACCTCCCATTATCGAAATATTACGCCATACCTCGCTAATTTATAAATATTAACCTTATGCGTAACCCCTGGATCTACTGACACTTTACACTAAAGCCCTCATGGTTGTACCGATATCGCGTAACCCTCACTATTAACCCCACACGTCTATACCCTAATATTAACTCATAAGGACCACACTCTTTACCTCAAACACTTAGTTTCTACCTATAACCACTTGACGCGACTGTCTTAACCTTAGTAACTCGCTATGACCCGATTCTTCAAATGTTCTCGTTCGGTTTAACGAAGCTATTTTGATTACCTGAATCGCTAATCCTGTCTACCATAAGTCTACCCATGAACAATTTGGAAGATGGGGATGGGTATATAGTTAAGGGTTGCAAGTTAAGATGAAAGTTGAGAGGGAGGGGTTAAAAGATAAAGTTGGTGTGAAGAGTGGGACCCTAACATTTAAGCGGTTAATTGGAAGTCTTGGAGAGGTGTAGTTAATAGTTATGAATCACGTACGGGTTAACGGGCTAAGATGTTAAAGTTTAACACCTGTTCCCAAGTCTAAGAGTTAACAAGTATAGAATTAGGGTTCAAGTGATAATGTGTAAAAGCCTATTTAGTTAATCGTCCCTAGAATTAGGGTTAACGTTTAATGTTAAAGATAAGCGTTAAAGATATAGCAGTAAAGTTCTTAATCCCTAAAAAGATAAGCGTTACCAAGTTCCTATCGATCTAGAGGTCTCACCCTACCGATTCCCAGTGCGAGGTGCAGCTTCATGGTCTAACCCTATACCAGAACCCTCACTCGAAGTTTAGACACTCCAAGGGTTACCCTAGCTCAGAACCCTCACGTCTGCTAACCTTCATGTCTACTAAATACTCACTAGACCTCATCCTCTAACTCCCACCTCTATCTAACCATAATCCCTCACCTCTTCAATTATCCCCTCTCTAAAACTCTTCATACTGTAATCCCTCCTACCGACTCTTCTATAGCTCAACTGTAACCCTCACCTCTAACCCTAAATCCCCAACCGTAACCCTCACCTCTAATCCATAATCCCCAACCGTAACCCTCACCTCTAATCCTAATCCCCAACTGTAACCCTCACCTCTAACCCTAAACTCCAACTGTAACCCCCATATACGCTCTACACTACCTAACCTCAACTGTTAAGCCTTTCTCCAATTCTCCTACACATTCTCTAACCCTAAACCTCACATAACCATAACCTGGGGTGGACTACTGACCATTTGGAAACTCGGCTTGCACTGCTGAGGGGACCGGGGGTCAGTAGAGGGCCCCATGAGATGCCCCTGGTACCTTTTTCTTCCATAGGCTTTTTTTGAGTTACTGGGCTTAGGACAAGGGGGAACCAGGATCCCCTATTGCCCGGGAATGGGCCCCATGAGTTGTCAGTCCGCCTGGCCAATCATGACCCTCAACTCTAACCTATACACTCTAACCTCACCCGATCAAGTCCTTCCTCCACTTACTGTAAGCCTCACTCTCCTAACCCACTTCTCTACCCCAACCGTAACCCTCGATAACCTCTAACCCCTCTAACACCATTATGCCCTAAATGTAACCCTTACCTGGTAACCCTAAACCCTAACTGTAACCCCCACCTCTAACCCTAATCTCCTAATGTAACCCTAAACCCCAACTGTAAGCCTCACCTCTAACTCTAAACCTCAACTGTAAAGCCTCACCTCTAACTCTAAACCTCAACTGTAACCCCACACCTCTAACCTTAAACCCCAACTGTAACCCTCACCTCTAACTCTAAACCATAACCCTCACCTCTAACCCTTAAACGCCTATCTCAACCCTAAATCTGTAACCCCCCACCCTGTAAGCCCCATCTCTAACCCTAAACCCCAACCATAACCAGGGGTGGACTGACCATTGGAAACTCGGGCACTGCCTGAGGGCCCGGGGTCAGTAGAGGGCCCCCATGAGATGCTCCTGGTACCTTTTTCATAGGCTTTTTTTTTGAGTTTGGGCAAGGACACAGGGGAACCAGGATCCCCTATTGCCCGGGGGCCCCATGAGTTGTCAGTCCGCCCCTGGCCATGATCCTCAACTCTAACCCTAAACCTCAACTGTAAGCCTCACCTCTAACCCTAAACCCCAACTGTAACCCTCGCCTCTAACCCTAAAACCCTAAATGTAACCCTTACCTGTAACCCTAAACCCTAACTGTAACCCCCACCTCTAACCCTAATCTCCTAATGTAACCCTAAACCCCAACTGTAAGCCTCACCTCTAACTCTAAACCTCAACTGTAACCCCCACCTCTAACCTTAAACCCCAACTGTAACCCTCACCTCTAACCCTAAACCCCAACTGTAGCCCCTGCCTCTAACCCTAAACCCTAACCCTCACCTCTAACCTTTAACCCCAACTGTAGCCCCCCACCTCTAACCTTAAACCCCAACTGTAACCCCCACCTCTAACCCTAATCTCCTAATGTAACCCTAAACCCCAACTGTAACCCCCACCTCTAAACTCTAAACCCCAACTGTAACCCCCCCACCTCTAACCTTAAACCCCAACTGTAACCCTCACCTCTAACCCTAAACCCCAACTGTAGCCCCTGCCTCTAACCCTAAACCATAACCCTCACCTCTAACCCTAAACGCCAACTGTAACCCCCACCTCTAACCCTAAACTCCTATTGTACCCCTAAACCCCAACTGTAACCCTCACTTTTAACCCTAAATCCCAACTGTAACCCCCACCTCTAACCCTAAACCCAAACTGTAACCCCCCACCTCTAACCCTAAACCCAAACTGTAACCCCCACCTCTAACCCTAAACCCAAACTGTAACCCCCCACCTCTAACCCTAAACCCCACTGTAACCCCCACCTCTAACCCTAAACCCCAACTGTAACCCCCACCTCTAACCTTAAACCCCAACTGTAACCCCCACCCTCTAACCCTAAACTCCTATTGTACCCCTAAACCCCAACTGTAACCCCCACCTCTAACCCTAAATCGCAACTGTAACCCCCACCTCTAACCCTAAACCCCAACTGTAACCCCCACCTCTAACCCTAAACCCCAACTGTAACCCCCACCTCTAACCCTAAATTCCTAATGTAACCATAAACCTCAACTGTAACCCCCACCTCGATTGGGGATTGTGCTAGGAGGGGAGACTGGGGAGAGGGTGGGATTTTGTGCTAGGAAGGGGAATTGGAGAACTGGGGGAAGAAGATTTTTCCTAGGTAGGTAAATTTGGGGGGATGTGCTGTGGGGGGGGGGGGGGGTATGCTAGGAGTTGGACTTTGTTCTATAAAGTGGGATTGGGAGGATTTGCACTAGGAAGGGTAAATGGGGGGGGGGGGGGGGGGAGGGGTTGTTCTAGGGAGGATTATTAGGGTGAGGGGATTTGTGCTAGGAAGTGTAATTTGGGGGGGTTGTACCAGGAGGGGGAATTGGGGGGATTTGTGCTAGGAAGAGGGATTTGTTCTAGGGAGGGGAGAAAATTTGTGCTAGTAGGGGTAATTTGGAAGGAGGGGGGTTGTGCTGTGTTAGAAAGGGGGATTGGTTCGAGGAAGGGGGACAGGATTTGTGCTAGGAGGGGGGATATGGGAGGAGATTTTTGCCAGGAGGGGAACATGGGGGTGGGAGATTGTTGTGCTAAGAGAGGGGGGGAGACTATGGAGGGTGAATTTGTGCAGGGGGGGGGGGTTGAGTGGGGGGGGGGGGGGGGTCGGGATTTGTGCTAGGAGGGGGAATTTTGTAAATTTTTGTTTGGGGATGAATTTTGGCTTGCAGAGGGAATTTATACTAAAAGTGCAAATTAGTGCAAGATTTTATTTGGAGGGTAGTGGAGGGGATTTTTCCTGAGACATGATGCTGACCCATCACATGTGTGTGTGTGTGTGTGTGGGGGGGGCACAGTTTGTCACCCTGGGCTCTAGGTGACCTTATCCCAGAAATGGGCAGAATTAATTGGTATTAATTAAAATCAATTTAAATCTTTTAAAAAAAGTGAATGTGTTACTTATTGTTATATTTCTGGGCGATCGCTGAAAGTCGGAGTTCCTCAAGAGCTCGGGATATTCTACTGTAGGAGAGTCAAAGAAATTAATATAACCCCAAATTTCCCCCCCTCCCCCCACACACACCCCCCAGCCCACAGACCGCATGGATGTTTGAAATGAGGTGACACAAAGCGTATCTGTGAGTTTCCCCTCCCCCGCTCGCACTGACTCTCCTGGCCGGTTTCACTCGTTAAAACACTTGGAAGAGTTTACAATTAGCGATCTGCTGATTCCGGGGAGCCGAAGTCGCTCTTCCAGATGTTGTCTCCCCCGACACAATCTTAAATAACTCTTATGGGCCTTACGGCTGATTGTGAAGAATCAGGAATTGTCTCCGTCATCCCATAATAATGGCATTGTAGGCCGAGCATGAGAGGAGATGTTTACTTTACTGATGGAGGGAAGGATGGATAGATGGATATACTGTATATCTTGGGCATCTGGGAGAGAAATAGTGCCCCATTGTTGTTCCCAAGGTGTCAGTGGGAGGAATAACACCCTATCATTGGTGTCAGTGGGAGGAATAACACCCTATCATTGGTGCCAGTGGGAGGAATAACACCCTATCATTGGTGTCAGTGGGAGGAATAACACCCTATCATTGGTGCCATTAGGAGGAATAACACCCCATCATTGGTGTCAGGGAGGAATAACACCCTATCATTGGTGTCAGTGGGAGGAATAACACCCTATCATTGGTGCCATTAGGAGGAATAACACCCTATCATTGGTGTCAGTGGGAGGAATAACACCCTATCATTGGTGCCATTAGGAGGAATAAACCCCATCATTGGTGCCAGTGGGAGGAATAACACCCCATTATTGGTGCTAGTGGGAGGAATAAATAACCCCATCATTGGTGCCAGTGGGAGGAATAGTGCCCATCATTGGTGCCAGTGGGAGGTATAACACCCCATCATTGGTGTCAGTGGGAGGAATAACACCCCATCATTGGTGTCAGTGGGAGGAATAACACCCTATCATTGGTGCCAGTGGGAGGAATAACACCCCATTATTGGTGCCAGTGGGAGGAATAAATAACCCCATCATTGGGGTCAGTAGGAGGAATAACACCCCATCATTGGAGCCAGTGGGAGGAATAATTACCCCATCATCATTAGTGTCAGTGGGAGAAATAGCACCCCATCATTGATGCCAGTAGGAGGAATAACACCCCATCATTGGAGCCAGTGGGAGGAGTAACACCCCATCATTGGTGCTAGTGGGAGGAATAATTACCCCATCATTGGTGTCAGTAGGAGGAACAACACACCCCATCATTGGTGCCAGTGGGAGGTATAACACCCCATCATTGGTGCCAGTGGGAGGAATAACACCCTATCATTGGTGCCATTAGGAGGAATAACACCCCATCATTGGTGTCAGTGGGAGGAATAACACCCTATCATTGGTGCCAGTGGGAGGAATAATAACACCCCATTATTGGTGCCAGTGGGAGGAATAAATAACCCCATCATTGGTGTCAGTAGGAGGAATAACACCCCATCATTGGTGCTAGTGGGAGGTATAACACCCCATCATTGGTGCCAGTGGGAGGAATAATAATACCCCATCATTGGTGTCAGTAGGAGGAATAGTGCCCCATCATTGGTGTCAGTGGGAGGAATAGTGCCCCATCGTTTTTTGCCATTGGGAGGAATACTGCCCTATCATTGCTGTCAGTGGGAGGAATAGCACCCCATAATTTGTGTCTATAAGAGGAATTGTGCCCCTCCATTGATGCCAGTGGGAGGAACAGTGCCCCATCGTTGGTGTCAGTGAGAGGCATAGCTCCCCATTGTTGGTGTCAGTGGGAGGAATAATGCCCCATCATTAATGTCAGTGGGAGGCATAGCTCCCCATTGTTGGTGTCAGTGGGAGGAATAATGCCCCATCATTAATGTCAGTGGGAGGCATAGTTCCCCATTGTTGGTGTCAGTGGGAGGAACAGTGCCCCATCATTGGTGTCAGTGAGAGGCATAGCTCCCCATTGTTGGTGTCAGTGGGAGGAATAATGCCCCATCATTAATGTCAGTGGGAGGCATAGTTCCCCATTGTTGGTGTCAGTGGGAGGAATAGTACCCCATCATTAATGTCAGTGGGAGGCATAGTTCCCCATTGTTGGTGTCAGTGGGAGGAATAGTGCCCCGTGGTTGGTGTCAGTGGGATGAATAGTACCCCATCATTTGGTACCCTCAGCTAGAAAGGCTGCTATGGCTATTGGGGTCCCCTTTCACCCTTGGCTACAAAGACTGCTATGGCTGTATAGGTCCCCTCCCACCCTTGGCTACAATGGCCGCTATGGCTGTTGGGGTCCCCTCCCACCCTTGGCTACAATGGCCGCTATGGCTATTGGGGTCCCCTCCCACCCTTGGCTACAATGGCCGCTATGGCTATTGGGGTCCCCTTTCACCCTTGGCTACAAAGACCGCTATGGCTGTCTAGGTCCCCTCCCACCCTTGGCTACAATGGCCGCTATGGCTGTTGGGGTCCCCTCCCACCCTTGGCTACAATGGCCGCTATGGCTATTGGGGTCCCCTCCCACCTTTGGCTACAATGGCCGCTATGGCTATTGGAGTCCCCTCCCACCCTCGGCTACAAAGGCCTCTAAAATCCCAGGAGATCAGCAGTTTTTTGAAATACTCAAACCAGCCTGTCTGGCACCATCAATCATGCCACGTTCAAAGTCACTTAAATCTCTTTTCTTCCCCATTCTGATGCTCAGTTTGAACTTCATCAAGTCATCCTCACCATATCTAGATGCCTAAATGCACTGAGATGCTGCCATGTGATTGGCTGATTAGCAATTTGTGTTACAAAGCAATTAAACAGGTGGACCTCATAAAGTGGCCGGTGAGTGTATGTCCTGGTGTACGCCATCCACTGGACTTCATGTTACCACAGTGCAGCTGTATCTCTGCTCATCAGATACCAGCGCTCTGAAGTTCCTGTACAAATTGTTCAAGCTCTCCAACCAGCAAGATGGCCGCTATCTGTGACGTGATGACGTTGTACGTCGTAGCTCCATCCAACGCGTTTCATCATAAAAGATGTCATCAGTGGCCATCTTGCTGGCTGGAAACATCTTCTGATT